AATATAAGTGAAGCTGCTTGCAGTAGTGGAATAAGCACGTATCACGTGACATTTTACACAAGGACTTCTGTGTATCACTGTTTTTTAACCCCAGCACAAACCTATGGGACGAGAAAAGCATGAGCTTGTAAATTATTCCCATAATAAATCATTAATCTTTGCGCAGACCCACCACAAAAATGGGGTTTATGTTGATTTTCTAAACAGAAGTATCTACAAATGGCTGGGGAAAAATGAAAAATTTACTCAGCCATAAGCATATTGTCAATCCAAACTATGAATTTTTTAGGGTTTCGTGCCAATTATTTACAATCATTATCCATTCAGTTCCGTGCGACGGTTTCGGTTGCTGCTTTCTAGCTGTCCAGTTGGGTTAAAGGAGCAGATGGGAGATTGCAGAGAGTGAAGTCAAGTGAAAACAGAAAAATTCCGCTTGTAGCGAGAGTGAGCAGATCACAGGAGCGCCATTGGTTGTGACACTCAGCCATATGGAGCAATGATTGTAGCTCGAGATGCGCATATTGATGCCGATGTCATATTCGAGCTGGAAGTGCTGTTTTCAGACATTTCGAGAGCCAGCACTTCCTCGCTGATTGCACTGATGATGTTGCCCGGCCTGGTTACGAAACGTCTGCAAACGATACTTCCCGATATCATATCACTCAGTGTCTCCGGCCCTCGGCTACGCCGATCCTAAGGTCCCTCCCCCCATCCAGAAAGCCTAACATGACCTATATGATCGAGTCTCCTGGTCAGGGTTTTCATAACCTCATGGCAGGTCTTAGTCTAATCGTTCTTTACTTGTTTTCATGCCTTAACTGCCTCGTTAAACATCGCGCGCCGTGCCAATGTGTTTGGTGGCATTGCGTAACACAGGCCTCAACCAACGTAATCGACGGACATCAAGCAACTGTTGTGTTGTGCGACTACGATTGACCAAAACTCTGCTTTACTCAGCTTTACTTGTCCGGTTTCCCCAACAAACTCGTGTAATTCGGCATAGACAACAGTGTTCGAACACCGACGGCCTACTATTTTTGATTGTTTGTTTTTCCCGTAACGGACAACTATGGTCACAAAACAGCACTGACCGAATCGCTGAACCGTTGTACACTCAATCTCACTCACAGACGAGCGTGAGTCAAATCCCTTTCATATCAAATTGCGTTTGATACAATCGTTAGGCTGGAACACTTTCTATACTCGAGTCATCAAAGAACACCCCGACCTGTTGAGAACAGTAAAGCGTGGGAATTACATTTTAACCAACATTCGTTCAGGCTGGAAATCCGAGCCGGCAAAGAATCAGTCAGTCTGTATGGGTAGATCAATCAACCAATCAATCAATCAACGCCCCGGGCACAGCACAGTAAACGGTTCAATCAAAAGCATGGTGAGAAAAAGAGGAACCTCAGAATATAGAATAATGGGCAATGAAAATTTTTGATTTTTACTTTCTTGTTTATTCATTGAAACTACAAATTTTCAGTCAGCTTTCAGCAAGGGAACCACGGTCATACAAAGACTGTCTGGTAAAATACAGAAATAGGGAAAACGGGCAACGGTGGAGCGATTAGAACCCTACACTATCGGGTCAAAATCTGGTGACCCAACACTGCCGTGACCCACTACCGTTCCATTGTCAATGTTATGGAAAGTATGATTCAAACACATGTGAATACACCGTACAAATCAGTTTACTGTTGTGCGGAACTTAATTTTGAGCGCGTATTGAACCAGTGATCAATAGCTAACGTACACAGAGGGAGAATCAATGCATGATTTGAATTTGGGATGAATACGTCTGATATCTGAGACTATTTGAGAAGGGAATTTGATAACCCCGAATCTGATTACACCAAACTTTACTGGTAGATTTCCTCCCTTTCGTCTGGCTCGATTCCACACCTATCCCAAGGGAATTTTTATATATTCTTTGGTCCAATGCCGACCTGACGATAAGGAGAATGGTATAGATCTAAATGAGGAATTGGACCGTTTCTTCACGGAGCTGTGAATAACCAAAACGATGAAACAACTCACTCGTGCATCCTGAATCTTTCTGGCCAGACGAGGTGAGTGATTGGTTCTGTTAAGTCGTACTATCTTGCCCGATACGGAACTCATTGCGTCACCAAATTTGGACAACCTGGTTTCGGCATCAATCGGTAATTGTTCATCCACTGGTTGAATTGTGTAAACCTCTGAAAGACTTCTTTGGTGTAGCACACGCAGCTGCTTTGCTTGTGACACAGTGATGGATGGTTTCCCGGTACTTGGCGGAAGATTAGCCTTTTTCACCATCACGAGTCGTTCATCATCGTCTGAATTGTCTCTTTCTGCTTCGTCGTCATCATCTTCGTCGTCCTCCTCCTCATCCTCCTCCACCTCCTCTTCCTCTTCATCCACAGCGTCCTCGCTATCATCTTCATCGTCCGCGTAGCCCCGATCACGGTCAGACTCTTCCCCGGTTGCCAACTCATTTTCGCTATGACTCCAGTCCGACAGAGTCGGGGCTTCTGATAGTTGTTCACAATTTCAGGTCCCATCATCAGAAAGGTGATTTCAGTTCGGCAGACAGTGGGAACGGATGGGGAAAATGTGGTTCAGATTCACAATAAAACCGAGATCAATGCATAATTCGAATACGTTCAAAGTACCGTTTTCCCGGTGAACGATTGAATAATTGCTGAACAGGGATCAGTCCANTCACTCAATCAGAGAGCATGATAGAAGTCGTGAGAGCATGAGGATTGTTTCGCACACTATTTGTATTTGTATAACTTTTGCAAGCTAAGATATGCTTACATTTCAGTTAAAAATTGAACAGCGGTCGTCACACCCGAAAGAGTATAGAAGTGTACACAAATCCAATAGAGGGCTGTGTAAAAAAAAATGTCTCCAAAGTTTGGTAGATACCAATAGGAGGAACCGGTGATCGAGTGGGAGTGACAAGAAGATAAGTCAAGATGCAAAGGATGGGAGGGATCGTTTAGAATCTTATTGGCAAAGATCACACATGACTTTATATGACCATTAATAAGTTCGGTGATTATTGACTCTCAGTCCACGATATCCTTTGATTTAGTATTGTTATACAACACTTGATCGTGGTAAATATTGGACTAAGGGATGTGCAGTGCTGTGCCTGTTCGTCCTCACCGGCTTATTACCAATCGCATAAATATCGGGTTGTGTGCACAAGTTATGATGAACACACTCAGACAAACGAAAGAGCGTATATTAATTTGGCTATTTGAGTTCAAACCCCATCCCTCATTCTCTAATTTGTGGTTTCTTTTGCCAGTTCTTAAATCGCTGGTTTCTCCCTACTTGAGACTGGAGTCTACAATTGTATATTGTATTTGAAGCAAAAAATTGATAGAATTGACTGACTTACCAGGAGGTTTATTTGTCACTTTCGTCTCATCCGGAGAGTGTGAAGCGGCCATGGATCCGATGCATCGCGGTCCATCGTCGGAACAAGTCGATGAATCGGATTGAGCCTGATCAGAGTGCCTGTCACACGAGGCCGGTTCGATCGGTCCGTGGTCCACAGAGGGCGTGGCACCAGCAAGAGGCCGTTGCACAAACCGGGTCAGTCCCTGCAATAATCGATTCGATTCGCTTTGGCTGTTACTTTTGGCCTGTACGGGCGCTGCAGATGGATGTTGTTGCTCGTGTACTAGCCGGGCGGGATCGTGTGGGACTAGGGTTTGTGCGGAAGACAGCCGGTCTGTGTTGGTTTTAGGCACACTGTTCACTGTCAGATTCGCAGTGGCTGGGGTGTTAGCGGTCGTGACGGATGCTTGCCGCCGACCAAGCCGGAGTCGAATATCGGGTAACTGAAAGAGTATGCGAGAATGGGTATAAGTGAGTATAAAGAACCGGCTATACAAAATGATAACTCGAAATAGAGACGAGCTTGCAAACACCATACAATAGTGTTTGTTGTT